GCACTCTCTCTCATTGTTTATATCTGTCTGTCTCACACTCTCTCTCTTCCTCTCTCTCCCTCTTTCTATATATTATATATATATATATATATATATATATATATATATATATATATATATATATATATATATATATTAATTAATTAATGCAAATAAATGTTGTCCCTTTAGATTCAGCACTTTGACAAACTTTTCCATAATTGTCCAGTTTACTCTTTTGAAGGCTTCAACAATTGACTGCCGATTTTCTCATTTTTGGTTCGACTATTTATATATGCTGGTTTTATGTGCATTATGGGTAGAAGGTCTATTGTATTATCCTAATTCTTAGTGGGTGACAGGTAGGGCTTATGCTTCAAATTATTCTTAAGGATATTGAGTAGAAAAATATGTGGATCCGAATGCATTTAGTTATTTTATAATGTTTAATTTCTTCTTTCATTCATTACTTATTATTGATTACTTTATTTGTTGGTGATTTTTATTATTATTTGTTGTTTACTTGTTATTACCTCTGCATTTTTAGATTTTTAATTTCTTTATTGTTTACTTAATTTGCTTCCTTATATACGGATTTAGATTTTTGCTTATTTTATTTATTTATTTATTTATTATACTTATTAGTTTTTCGTTTATAATATTTGATTTTTAAGTCACGTAGTAAAACTTTTTTTTCCTGTCGGCGTTTTGAGATGATATCTGATCGTTTATTTAGTAATTTCCGATCGTCTGGGAAGGTAATTAATTATAGCTATTTTCCTCTTCAGAGAGAGTTTACAATTAAACAGGTTACTGAGTGTGTGAGATACTGAGCAATCATTATTGAGTACAGAGGACAATAAAAGAATAGGATTCAAGGAGACAGAAAGTGTATAAGGTAGCAATAACGGTTATGTTTCAAATTATTCTTTAGTTTTTTTATTATTGTGAAGATTCGAAATCCCTTTTGAATTCTTAAGACATATATATATATATTTTTAAGCATTACGCCCCGAGCAAGGCGTGAAGCCACTAGGATGCAGGGGGTTGCAGAAGATTTGGAGCGAGAGCAGATAGGAGTGATAGAAGAAAGGATGAGGAGAAGGATAATGGGTAGATCAAGGTAACTGGAGGTGTCGATTGACATTACATTTGAATAGTTGGAGATTATAGCTCTCAGGGAAACAGTAATTGGGAAGGGTGTTCCACAGGCGAGAGTTGCGAGATATGAAGCTATTGGAGTGGAAGAGACGGCTACATTTAAAAGTTTCTACAGTGTAAGGGTGGGAGAGGGATGCCAGCCTCGTAAGGCGCTTGAATTCATGGAGTCTGGGAACCAGTGAAAGCAGCTCATCGGAGCAATTACCATGAAAGTATTTGTAGAAAAGACAGAGAGAGGCGACGGCGCGTCTGTGAGAGAGTGACTGTAGACGAGACGCCAGATCAGGGCGAATTATATTACTTATCCGTCTCTGGATCTTGTCAAGAACTCCGAGGTAAACAGAAGGTGCCCCAGACCATATATGGCAGCAATACTCCATGCAAGGGCGAATGGTTGATTTGTATATTTGAAGTATCGATTCCGGGGAGAAAAACTTTCCTCGCGGTGGAAGAAGCAATTGACTCAATGTATTTGTTCCATCTCAGGTCAGCAGTCAACGTGAGACCGAGCAGACGCAGGGAGTTGCTCTCAAGAAGTTGACTATCAGACATTCTAATTGGGGGGCAGGGGAGGATCTCTAGGGTGATTAATAGAGAGTAGTTTAGTTTTTGAGGCGTTAAAGTTGACCAGCCAATTCTTGCCCCAATTAACAACCGATTGGAGGTCCATTTCAAGACGCACGTCCAGGTTAGTTTTGTCAGCGACACTAGATTTGTTTTTGAGGCAGGAGTAGATTGTAGTGTCGTCCGCGTAGATGCCAACTTGGGAATCTATGGCGTCAGGAAGGTCATTGATGAAAATAAGGAATAGAGTGGGGCGAAGGATGGAGCCTTGGGGAACACCTGCGTTCGTGGGATTGGCACTGGAACATATACGAACATTCAATGAAAATATACGTTCTGCAGCTATGGTATATATATATATATATATATATATATATATATATATATATATATATATATATATTAATTCATTTTTTATGTTTATACATTCTTTTAAAATAATTAAATGTGTGACGTCATTTGTTTACATTTGATACGCCATGAGCAGATATGAATGTACGTGAGAGATTCATAGAAGATTGAAGTTTAAATACAGTAAATTCGACCTTGGTAACCAAATCGGTAAAGGCACGTCAAGCTAAATGACGGTTCCGTATAGGATACAGGTTCGAATCCTGTCGGAGGACGAATATTTTCTGTGATAATTTCTCGGACATTCAGGTGGTGTTTAATACTGTTTATTATAAACAGAGCATTTACTTAAACATTTGCATCTATAAAAAGAATGTATAAAAATGTCATTAAAAGAATTGTCGGACTTTGTCCATTTCATTATATGTTATAATCTATTGGAAAGACATAAAAATTATTAACAATTGAAAAGACATAGACATATGTTCTGCAGCTATTTCATTGAAATATATATATATATATATATATATATATATATATATATATACACGCACACATATATATATATATATATATATATATTATTGATAATTAGGAATATGTTCATGAATGTATATTTTTTCGAAGAAACACCTGACTATGCATTTTGCCGATTAGGCTTCATCAGATCGAAGTCGAAAAAATGAGTTGCTTGTGTATGCCTTTCTGTATGTTTAAAATAATGAAATCTTATTTTTCCGCAGCTGGCGTTGCTCGTAACTAAAAAAAGGAGAAAGAAACGATGTAACTTTTAAAAAGTCCTTTACATTTAATATTATTTGCTTTGAGTGTCCCAATCGAGAGATAGATTCCTTCAGAATGGGTAAAAAATAAATGTTTTTTTGTTTTTTTTTTTTTTTTTTGTTTTTTTTGCGTTTTACGTGTGGACAGTATGTTATAAATGTGGGTATATGATCCCGACAAAGTTATAAATGATTGACAATTGGAACAACGTTCATGAATGTATATTTTTTTCGAAGAAACATCCGACTATGCATTTTGCCGATTAGGCTTCATCAGATCGAAGTCGAAAAATGAGTTGCGTGTATATGACTTTTTGTATGTTTAAAATATGACGGTCGTCCTAAACGGGTTCTGTTCCACTTCCTTTCATACGAACGCTGGTATGCCCTATAGCTCTATCCTGGGTCATACACTGTTTCTTAATCAACGATTTTCCTGATGTCATCAGTTCTCAAGTAAGAATCTACGCAGACGACACTACCATTTACTCCTCTCTCAGTAGTAAATCAAGCATTGCTGACAATGTTAACACAGCCGCTGCTCTTGAAAATGACCTCCAATCTGTGGTTGACTGGGAGAGGAAATGGCGTCTAGACTTTAATGCTTCCAAAACGAAAATGCTCTCTTTGCCCACCGTAGAGAAAACTCCGCGCCTTCTTTCAGTATGACTACTTCACTAGATCGTCTCTTTGCGACTTCTTGGTCTCCCGTTTTCCACTGACCTGAGTTGGAAAAACTACATTGAATCAAATGCTACATCAAGGAAATTTGGTTCTCTGTATCGAGTCCATCCTTCAAATCTACAAATCAACCATTCGTCCTCGCATTGAATACTGTTTCCATATATGGTCTGGTGTCCCCGTTGTTCATCTAGAATTTCTCCATAAAATCCAAAGACGATTATGCAAGGTATCCTGACCTGGCATTATCTCGCACTCCTAGACATTGGAACTCCCTTCCTATTACTTTCTTCCCTGATAACTATTATCTTAAAAAAATTAAATGTAATGTCAATCGATATCTTCTGATTCCTTGATCTTGACCTCCGGCCTTCTCTATGCTTTCCTCATACGCCCCATTTTTTTACCCTCTGTAACGCGTTGCGTGATAGTGGCTCTCCCGCCTTGCTTAGAGTGAAATGCTTAAATAAATACATATAAGGCATGAAAAAGAATTGAAACCTACACTTTAAACTCTAAATTTAAACTATTATTATATGTATTTACGTATATAGTCTACCTAATTCCATTTAGTTTCTTTTTGCTTATATTTTTGATCTCTTTTATTAAGTGACCCACATAATAGACGATGTGTCAAGAAAAGATGAAATTTTGTAAGCAATTGATCACCAATTTTCTGTGGATGTTCAACAAATTAAACCGTTTTCTATACACTTCTGGAAAAATTACTTTCTCTTTTCATTAAAGAAGCAGCTTTTAAATCGATATTATAGTGAAAATCATTACGGTTAGGAACTAATGAATTGAGTGTTTTGCTTTGTAAAATATTCCTTTGTGTCCGTATAATATTTTATTTAAATTCTACGAGGTTTCTCCTATGTATACAGTGGGGAAATTATTACAGCTATTAATGCAAATTCCTTTTTCAATTATTAGCTTATTATTTATGTGTTAATTGAGATTTTCTTGTTTTAGAAGTAGTTTTAACAAATTTTTGTTTAAGCTTAGTAATTCTTTTTAATAGTAGTTATGACAGAGTTGGTAGGTACCATATGATATTTTCATTTCTTTAGATTTGTCACAATGGTCCCCACTTCAAAATTAAAATATTACATATACAAATTCTTACAGCTATTAAATAAAATCCAATGAGTATACGAGATTTTATTTTGTTGTTATGGTAAGAATATAAATTTATGAGATCATTTTTATATGATGATTTGCGATGGACACTTTATTTTACGTCATTGACAATACGGTGCATCATTTATATGACGTCACTTTAATTGATTTGAAATTGATTCCATCAAACGATTGTAGCAACATTCGAAAGTACTCGGCAAGAAAGTAATATAAGAGAAACAATAAGTATGACCTTTTTCAAACTTGCCAATAACACTTAATTCAGAAATTTGAAACATTACGTAACCAAAATAGTGATAGACAGAACTTATCCATATTATTAAAGTAAACAGGTCTGAGAGATTATTATTTGGAAATCAATCTATCTATCTAATCTATCATCTATCTATCTATCTATCTATCTATCTATCTATCTATCTATCCGTGTATATATATATATATATATATATATATATATATATGTATGTATATTGTCTGTGAAATTGTTATCAATAATAGAAAATTATTTTATTCTTCCAGTATAGTTATATTTCTAAGAAAACCTACGAAATCAATTTCATTTCAGAAACAAAAAATAATAAAGCAATCAAAAAGTTGATTAATCAATATATATATATATATATATATATATATATATATATTGATAGATAGATAGATAGATAGATAGGTAGATTAAATAGATAGATAGATAGATAGATAGATAGATAGATAGATAGATAGATAGATAGATATTTGAACAACCATTCATTCAAATTTTCTTCATTAAATACGGCAGACAAGGAAGATTTAATTATTTTTATTAAGTTTTGCAGCATCTTTACGGTTTTTCCGTTTTGTTGGAGTAAGGAAGTACAAAAATTGTCCACAATTTTTAATTTTTATTGTGCAAAATGTTTCGGCCATTTCTATTGACATTTTCAAGCGTGTTTTGTCTCTGGTGTTCTTATTTTTAACTCATGTTTTGACTGCTGGGTTGTAATTTATTTTTGAATTGTTTTGAATGGGAGTGTACAATATATATGCGCGTGTGTGTTTATATGTATATGTGTGGTTACTCTACATTTCATATGCTTGAGGCCACCACTGCTAATTTATTAAATTGTCCCTTAAACTTGATTTTTTGTACTTTGAATAAAGGAAACGTATTATATATGGTTAAAAAAGTGAGAAATAATTTTTGATTAGAAATTTTATTATGTAAAAAAAAAAAAAAAAAATTGTATGATTAAATTTTGCTCTCGTTAAAATATCCGACTTTAGTCTTGATTAGCGCGGCACAAATTTTTGGCATTCGTTGCAAGAGTTTCTCAATGTACGGGTTCGATAATTGTTTCTATTCTTTTTCTGTTAAGTAAATCCCATGCTAATTAATTGGGATGGCTTCAAACTTTTTTTAAACTGTAGTGTATGTGTTCGTGTATATTTGTGTGTATTTGTGTGAGATAGTTAATCTATATTTCAAATGTAGGTACAAATAAATAAATAGCACATGCTTTACGATGATTCGCTTACGTATAACTGACCGCTTTACGAATAAGGTTGTAGAAAGTTGAATTTTCGTTAATTATCTGAACTGGCTGCAGCTACCCCTTTCAAGATGCTGGTTCTATTTTCAGGGCGAGTTCCTTTGCATCAGCTCTCGAGCGACAAAAACGATGGATTCATTTGAATAGGCGAAGTTCCAGGAGCTAACCAATATGGAAATGACACAGAGGCACGCGATCAGGGATTACATGAAAACACGCACTCATCAACTGTACACGCATTGGATCGGATATCATTTCCCTTTGCTGTATCCCTTTGTATATATCAATCTCGCTAGCTTTCCTCGTTAGCTCATATCTATCTATCTATCTATCTATCTATCTATCTATCTATCTATCTATCTGAATAGGTTCATATCTCTTACATTTCTCCAAATATATCTAATTCTCTTCATATCTATCTATCTATCTATCTATCTATCTATCTATCTATCTATCTATCTATCTATCTGAATAGGTTCATATCTTTTACATTTTCTTCAAATATATCTAATTCTCTTCATATCTATCTATCTATCTATCTATCTATCTATCTATCTATCTATCTATCTATCTATCTGAATAGGTTCATATCTTTTACATTTTCTTCAAATATATCTAATTCTCTTCATAATCTATCTATCTATCTATCTATCTATCTATCTATCTATCTATATATATATCTATATATCTATCTATCTATCTATGTCCGTTCATATCTATCTATCTATCTATCTATCTGAATAGGTTCATATCTTTTACATTTTCTTCAAATATATCTAATTCTCTTCATATCTATCTATCTATCTATCTATCTATCTATCTATCTGAATAGGTTCATATCTCTTACATTTTCTTCAAATCTATCTAATTCTCTTCATATCTATCTATCTATCTATCTATCTATCTATCTATCTATCTATCTATCTATCTGAATAGGTTCATATCTCTTACATTTTCTTCAAATCTATCTAATTCTCTTCATATCAATCTATCTATCTATCTATCTATCTAATCTTTATCTGCACTCTCTCTTTATACATATATCTATACAAATACGCACACAAACACACGCATATATATATATATATATATATATATATATATATATATATATATATATATATATATATATATGGTGTATTAAAGGCAACAATACCTCTTTTATACAAGTTTTGGTCACGCGCCTGCAGCTAAGTCTTTTATGTCATTTTTTTCTTGTGTTCTCATAATTCTTTCTTTTCTGGATATAAATTATGTAGAAATTATCTGAATATTCTGTATGTATAATAATAATGGCTACAACAATAGGAAATCCTTCGGACATAAAGAACATTTGAAAATTTCTACTTAATTTATGTCCAGGAAAAAAACCTAATATGAGAAAGAAGAAAAATTAAATAAAAGACTTATCTATCTATCTATCTATCTATCTATCTATCTATCTATCTATCTATCTATCTATCTCAGATTTTTAATATATATCTTTCTAGATATGCTTTTCAAAAATTTTAGTGATTGGAATAAAAGTGTTGGCTGGAATTAAAAAAAAAAATCAACACTTTGCCCTAAAATGCACTCAGGTTATATTCTGAGTAGGAGAATTTCCTTGTTATTTAATGAAAAATTTGGTTGCGATAATACCCCCCCATTGATTTTTGTTCCTAAATACTATAAACATCTCGACCCATTTGAAACTGAAAGATAGGTAGGTACCTAGGTTTGTGTCTTTCTGTCTATCTATCTATTTATCTATCTGACTGTTTTATCGATCTATCGATCTGTCTATGTTAGTATGTTATCTACCTCGGTATTTTTGAGTCTATGCTTGACACTGGGACATTTCCAGCGTTTTTTAACTTTATCTAAAATCGGAGCAAGTCCAAACCATTTACATTATTACTGTAGCAATGTAATCATCCACCTTTCATTTTATACCACGTGCAGGGCAGACCAAGTTCTATAGACTTGATCTACCGCAGAAAGAAATGGCAACCTACTGCGGGAAAAAATCTGCCTCGTCAGTCATGTATTGAAAGATACATGATCGCCTAAGCGTGTATCACGCATGGCACATAACTGACTAACTGCTGCTGTATTGAAATGAGGCTAAGCGTATTAAACATTCACGCCTCAGTCAGTAAATCAATCCAGTAAAACCGCAACATCTCACTTTATACACACCTACACGCTCATATTAGACAGAATATTCTAGTGCTTTTATATTATTACTGACCAAACACGAGGTCCAAGATGCACTCAATGTAGAGGGTTATGGAATAAGATTATTGTAAGCTCGTAAAAGGAAGTGACAAGAAGTGTATATTATTAGGATATGACTCTAGACTTGAAGAGGTTAATATTTTATTGATTGTGGAAGCATCATCTCGGGAGTCTATTCCACAAAGTAATAGTTCTTGAGAAGTAGCCGAGCGGAACTTCCTCCTGACTAATGGAATATAAAGAGAATGTGGATGAATTAAACTCAATATAGTTAACGTGTACACGTAGTGTAGCTTCTCTTCTATAAATATTTTAATGGTAATTTTTCTGATAAATTTTTCTCTTTGGTGCCTTGACTGATTGAAGTTAAGCGCAGTACAAGATTGGCCCCAAAGTCCCACCAGTTTAGAGCTGGATGTAACCGTAAGTTCTATGCTAACAGTTTCTTCTTCCGCACTCAACACTTGTGGTAATCTCTTTCTTACTGTCTTTTTCCCTAATAATGTTTTTTTTTTTTTTCAAATTCTCTCAGTGTAGTATGTGGGAATTTTAATATAATTTCAAGTAAATATTCTGTAAAGTCTATGCAAAGGTTACAGAGATGTTCAAACATCGCTATTTTTCTGGCAGTGATTACCATTAGCTTGAATCATAACTCATTTCCGCTTTTGTTTATCAAATTTATTCTTAAAAAGTAACTTTATTCATTTATATATTTAACATTATTTGCGATTATTTGTTGCCAGTTATCAAGAAACTAATGGATACGCTTTGAAAAAATCCCGGGTTATGATGTGACCGTTTTTCGACAAATTCTTGGATTTGGATTTCATTGGAGAATGTTTTCCATATTAATGCGAAAACGGTATTAATCGGTTGGTACAATGTTTGTATAAAAAAAATTCTTCAACATTAAATATGCCTTTTAACAATACTAATCACTAGTCATAATGGCCGACGTTTTGAATATGCTATTTCATAGGCGATCTCTCCTCTAAATTGTGACTAAGTTTTGCTCAGAACAATTGCAGAATAAAATACAGCTTGGCTCTGTGCGTGTTGAATAATAGTCGTCTGTCTGCAACAGGGCTCTACTAGTGTTTAACAATATCCACATTTATAACGTTCGCAATTTAAATCCCATAGATAATAAACATTTTTGTTTCGTGTTCACAATGAGTTTTATTTTAGTCGAGCAATGTATTCAGATAAATAGAAAATACGATAGACTGAAATCCTTTCTTACATTTCGCTAAAACTCATCGACCTAAGAGGACAAAACTCATTTCTAAAATAGCAACATTTTCAAATAAAAAAACAAAAAACAAAACAAATAAAAACAAACAGATTTATTACACAAAGAGTTTCTTTAATTTCTTTAACCTATGCCTAAAGTCAGATTGCTTTCGTCTTCCACTTTTGATAAAAGCAATTCGTGGAATTTTGAACTTTGATGATATCTTTAGATTTTTTTTTTAACGATATAAGAAATGGGACATTTACCAAAATAAATGGAAATCTGACAATGCTCCTGGGAAAATGCGGCGCGAATAAAAATTCCCTACCCCGTTTCATTTTATGGTTATCGGGGTACACAAGGCGACTTATGGAGGAACAATGCCAATCAGGATTAAGTATTTCCACCATTACCTATCCTATATTTAACCAACCATTTTATTCACTTCCAATGCCCTAAATTTGAAAGTGATGTCTATACCGCTCTGTTGTATAAAGTAACGTGGTTTTTAACAATTTGCAATGCACAGATATACTACTACTACTACTACTACTACTACTATTAATACTACTATTAACAATAATATTCTCTAGCGGATCAATTTCGAGTACACCTCTGTGCAAGAATGCCTAGTTGTTATAGTGAAACACACCTATAGTTAATAGACTCTCCCACTTATAATAAGTAGGAGTAGTAAGAGACAGTCGATGTCGGACGACAGTTAGCCGAATACTAAAGTATCACCGACCACAACTAGATTACTCTGCGTAATACCTATTATATCAAGTTCCTAACGTTTTGTACGTCGAACCTATTTTAGGACCGACTTGGTACAAATACAAGCATCCACTACGAAATAACTCCACAACATTATTTGGCCACGAGGATTCGACCCCTTACGGAGGAGGAAAAAATTCGTTCGCCATAACACTAGTAGAGCCCTGTTGCAGACAGACGACTATTATTCAACACGCACAGAGCCAAGCTGTATTTTATTCTGCAACCAATTTAGAGGAGGGATCGCCTAAGAAATAGCATATTCAAAACGTCGGCCATTTTGACTAGTGATTAGTAAACCGTCAACAGCTTTCAAACGGTTGTGTTTATCCAATTTAATTCTCAATACTTAGATTAGATACTTCCCACGGGTGTCTGACGCTGGGACCATCCTCGCAAATAATCAATTTATTGACATATCGCCCATGGCAAGATTCGAAACCGAATCCCATGGGCCGAACGCTAGCTGTTTAATCACGTGACTACACAACAACATACGACGCTTTCTTTATCCCATCTTATTTGTTTTTATGTGCCGTTTCCTTTCAGGACGTAGGCGATCATGGATCTCCATTTTTCTCTAACCCTTGTAGCTTCGTCCCTCTGCCACCTCCCCTAGAGCACGTCATCTAATTGCTCAAGGCTGCCAGCCAACAAGAGGGCAGTAATATTTACCGAAAATGTTAGGTGCGGCTATTGAGGTATCAGGCTGTCCAGTAAACCCCGCTTTATTCTTGCCGCTTCAGATCATCATAACCGATTTTTAATTAGCAGTTTTAATCATCTAGCTAAAATAATTTATTTATGTCTGACAAGAAGAGAAATATAGTGATGTTGTTTAGTTCACGAGGAAACAATTTCGCTTATTTTTAAGCTTGATCATATTTCACAAAATGTCTAACAAATATGACTAACTCGAATTCATTTTAGCTAATTTCTAACGTAGACGGAATGGGATGATTATCGAAACGATATCTGCAATGATCGCTTCCAAGTTCTTGCGATCCAGCAATGCAATGGTTTTATTCGAATTCCGTTTTACCTTGATTAACGCGGAGCGTTCACGTCACGTCACGTCACGCTTCCAACCGAATGATCACCTTAGTTTTGATCAATCATAATTTTCGCTCCTAGCCCAAAGTAAAAAATAACGACAGGTAGTAACGTACTAGAAGTTTATACGATGCCATTTTTAAAACACAGGTTAAATCAACATTGAATATAGAACACAAACAATTATTTTTCAATTTCGCATAAAGTTTCTTGTATTCTAGTTTAATCCCAATATAGAACCCTTCCCTATGAAGACATATGATTCAATGGCAATTATCAATAATATGAATCGAACATTATAGAATGAAATTTTTCATTTTTCGTGTAGGTTTATTACGAGGGTGATCATTTAGAGCTCATTATTGACGTGTAATATATATATATATATATGGAGGCACGGTGGGGTAATGGATATCGGCTTGGATTGTGGAATCGCAGAGCCGAGTTCGAATTAGGTCTTACGTGCTAATACCCTTGGGAAAGGTGTGAATCCTATTCTTCTTCCTCCTGATATGGGTTAGATAGCAGGACAGACTGGGTTCTATAGCCTTGGATGGCGACTGGTCTAGGAGAAGGGCAAATCTGAATTCAAAACCTGAGTGGCGTTGTTTGGGGACCTTGTGGCACGCAGTGCACCAGGTCTCT